AGACTCCCATAGGTGCCATCTGTGCCTGAAACTCCCATATGTGCCATCTGTGCCGGAGACTCCCATAGGTGCCATCTGTGCCGGAGACTCCCATAGGTGCCATCTGTGCCGGAGACTCCCATAGGTGCCATCTGTGCCGGAGACTCCCATAGGTGCCATCTGTGCCGGAGACTCCCATAGGTGCCATCTGTGCCGGAGACTCCCATAGGTGCCATCTGTGCCGGAGACTCCCATAGGTGCCATCTGTGCCAGGGACTCTCATAGGTGCCATCTGTGCTGGAGATTCCCATAGGTGTCATCTGTGCTGGAGACTCCCATAGGTGCCATCTGTGCCGGAGACTCCCATAGGTGCTCTCTGTACATGAGACTTCCATAAATGCTATATGTCCCTGACTCATATAGGTGCCATCACACTGCAATTATCATCAGCTCTCTTCTGGGGCACACAAGATTGAAGTTTTGTAAGAGAATAATTGACACAGCATGCAGAGCGGGTATAACTGCGTACAGATCACTGTGGGGTGAGGATGTGATCGGATCAGTGTGGGGTGAGGATGTAATCGGATCAGTGTGGGGTGAGGATGTGGTCAGATCAGTGTGGGGTGAGGATGTGATCGGATCAGTGCGGGGTGAGGATGTGATCGGATCAGTGTGGGGTGAGGATGTGGTCAGATCGGTGGGGGGTGAGGATGTGATCAGATAAGTGCGGGGTGAGGATGTGATCGGATCAGTGTGGGGTGAGGATGTGATCGGATCAGTGCGGGGTGAGGATGTGATCGGATCAGTGCGGGGTGAGGATGTGATCGGATCAGTGCGGGGTGAGGATGTGATCGGATCAGTGTGGGGGGAGGATGTGATCGGATCAGTGTGGGGTGAGGATGTGATCGGATCAGTGTGGGGTGAGGATGTGATCGGATCAGTGTGGGGTGAGGATGTGATCGGATCAGTGTGGGGTGAGGATGTGATCGGATCAGTGTGGGGTGAGGATGTGATCAGATCAGTGTGGGGGTGAGGATGTGATCGGATCAGTGCGGGGTGAGGATGTGATCGGATCAGTGTGGGGTGAGGATGTGATCGGATCAGTGTGGGGTGATGAGTTTACATTTGGCAATGTACTGCCTTGCTAGTTAGGATACCTTGCAGTGCAGGGGTCCTGGTTCAGTTTCCACTAGTGGTGCAATGTTCATGGACGTTTAATGTTCTTGTGTTTGTTTGGTATGTGCAATGTCCTCTGTTAATTCAACCAGCTTTTTTTTTTCCCAACAGACAATGGAGAATTGTGCATATAAACCTTCAGCCCAGCCGGTCCTGCCACAGGTATGTGTTGGTTATTTTCTAAAATTTGGAACATAGACACCCCTTCAAACCCCACAGAATATATTGCTCCCACAGTAACCCATTGAGAACCATCAGCATGACATCATAGGAGGAGGGGCTTGGCTGTACTCTGACTTTCAGGAAGTCTGTGCTTTTATAGTTACCTGGAGGCTTTTCGTGGCACTCTTGGTTGTTGTAATGAAGTAAGGGAGCTGGATACAGGCATTTTGAAAGTGAGGGCCCCTTTGTGGATGGGTTGTTAAGCCCGTTTACGCTGGGGAAGGCCAAGTCAACAGCTTTTCAGGGGTGGCAAGCTGAAACTCCAACCTTATCCCACAGGCTTCACAACACTCCCAGGTTCCATATCTTTGGCAGTTGGCACTAGGCCAGGGGTGGGGAACCTCTGGTCCTCCAACTGTGGTGAAACTTCAAATCCCATGATGCATCTGTCTCTTGGAGTCATGCCTGTGGCTGTGAGAGAAGGATGGGAGAAAAAATGGTTCACCTACTTTACTCAGTTACCCCCAATACACTTGGGTTGATTGGTAATACAGGCACTGGTCTGAGGGAAGGATGGAGGAAAACATGATTCACCTACTGTACTCAGTTACCCCCAATACATTTGGGTTGATTGTTAATACAGGCACTGGTCTGAGGGAAGGATGGAGGAAAACATGATTCACCTACTGTACTCAGTTACCCCCAATACATTTGGGTTGATTGTTAATACAGGCACTGGTCTGAGGGAAGGATGGAGGAAAACATGATTCACCTACTGTACTCAGTTACCCCCAATACATTTGGGTTGATTGTTAATACAGGCACTGGTCTGAGGGAAGGATGGAGGAAAACATGATTCACCTACTGTACTCAGTTACCCCCAATACACTTGGGTTGATTGTTAATACAGGCACTGGTCTGAGGGAGGGATGGAGGAAAACATGATTCATCTACTGTACTCAGTTACCCCCAATACACTTGGGTTGATTGGTAATACAGGCACTGGCCTGAGGGAGGGATGGAGGAAAACATGATTCATCTACTGTACTCAGTTACCCCCAATACACTTGGGTTGATTGATAATACAGGCACTGGTCTGAGGGAAGGATGGAGGAAAACATGGTTCACCTACTGTTACCCCCAATACACTTGGGTTGATTGGTAATACAGGCACTGTTCTGAGGGAGGGATGGAGGAAAACATGATTCATCTACTGTACTCAGTTACCCCCAATACACTTGGGTTGATTGGTAATACAGGCACTGGCCTGAGGGAGGGATGGAGGAAAACATGATTCACCTACTGTACTCAGTTACCCCCAATACACTTGGGTTGATTGGTAATACAGGCACTGTTCTGAGGGAGGGATGGAGGAAAACATGATTCATCTACTGTACTCAGTTACCCCCAATACACTTGGGTTGATTGGTAATACAGGCACTGGCCTGAGGGAGGGATGGAGGAAAACATGATTCACCTACTGTACTCAGTTACCCCCAATACACTTGGGTTGATTGATAATACAGGCACTGGTCTGAGGGAAGGATGGAGGAAAACATGGTTCACCTACTGTTACCCCCAATACACTTGGGTTGATTTTTGCAAAGCAAAGTTTTACTTAGCATAGTGCATGAGATAAAGCTAAGTGGACATTTACTTGCAAAGAATACCCAATCATGTGCAAAGAAAATAAAAAAAAGAGAGATTTTTTGCTTGCACATGAATGAGTTGATGGTCAGCACAGCTTCACCTCATTGACTAAGCTAATAGAAAATTCACTTTGCAAAGTGAACATGCTCTACTCCTTTAGTAAATCAAGCCCATTATATATAAGTGTAATGTGGCAGTAGATGGGAGATAGGGGTGTGGCAGTAGATGGGAGATAGGGGTGTGGCAGTAGATGGGAGATAGGGGTGTGGCAGTAGATGGGAGATAGGGGTGTGGCAGTAGATGGGAGATAGGGGTGTGGCAGTAGATGGGAGATAGGGGTGTGGCAGTAGATGGGAGATAGGGGTGTGGCAGTAGATGGGAGATAAATGGTCAGCACAGCTTCACCTCATTGACTAAGCTAATAGAAAATTCACTTTGCAAAGTGAACATGCTCTACTCCTTTAGTAAATCAAGCCCATTATATATAAGTGTAATGTGGCAGTAGATGGGAGATAGGGGTGTGGCAGTAGATGGGAGATAGGGGTGTGGCAGTAGATGGGAGATAATTGTATGCCAGTGTCTGTAATGTTCTGACTTTCATGGACTTCTGCACACAGTGGTCACAGACACTAACCTGCTACCCTATATGAACTATCAGTTTAAAAAAAATGGCAAATGACAAAATAGTTGAGTATAAGAAATATTAGTATAGTTTAACAGGGTGGCTACAGATCAGTTTTAAGGGCTCATTTACATGGGTGTGCATATCTGTACGGTGTGCACACCCATGCAGAGGGACAAGTGTGACGTGCAATTGCGTGCAGCTGCCTGTACATCTGGATGTGCAGGTTTGAGTCGGCATGTAGCCATGTGCAGCCGCGACCTCCCATAGGGATGTATAGGTGGCTACATGCAATCACAGGCTGCACCTGTCCCTCCCTGGAGCAGGTCTCTGCATGCACCGTACAGATGTGCTTGCCTTTGTAATTTAGCCCTAAATCACACATTGAAACGGGTGGGCAACTCCGGCCCTCCAGCTATTGTGGAACTACAAGTCCCATGAGCCATTGCAAGACTGACCGTTACAGGCATGACTCCCAAAGGCAGAAACATTTTGGAATGATGTAAAAATTTTGGAAAAATGCAGTTAAAAGTACAGAAATATTAAGTAATTTAAATGGTTACTTGCAGTGTTTTTGCTTTTCATAAATCATTTTGTAATCACGTGCAATGGGCCTTTCAACTTGTTAGAAGATATAACTACTCCAGAAAGAGTCAATTCTCCAGCACATCATAGCCTTCTCCTCTTCTGAGACTGTCTAATTACTGTCTATGCTGGCCAAGCTCCTCTACCTCTCCCCTGACCTTCCTACATAACCTTTTATGCAGCTGCTGGGGGAGAGTGGGAGCGAAGGAGAATACTATAGCGTGTCACTTGAGTGACCGCTCTGAGCCTGCTGGAGTGCCGAGCAGCAGTCATGGGGCTTTTGGATGTCCACACAAGAGAGGTTTTTACAGGTAAGTAGCAGCATCTGTAAAATGTGTTAAATGCGCATAGAATCTTCTTGGAAGTCTTTTAAAATGAATGGTTGGGTGACAGGGTCTGTTTAAACAAAACTGGCAGTTTTGGGGAGATTAAGTGTGTGATTCAACTTACCACAAAAAAAACAAACTATAACATAGAATTTGGGTGGAGTTGACCTTTAATACGCTACGTTCCTTTGATTGACGGCACTGTGATTTACATGTCGTATGTGTCAGTCAGTAAATCTCATCTGTGAAGGCGCTCAATTTAGTAGGCATTAACTGGAGCTTCAAAAATATAGTTGAAATCTTCAGGCAGTGAAATGAATAAAGATTTAATGCACCATTAATGTTGTTCCTGACATCTCCCACATGACTAATTTTACTTCCTGGCAATTAATTATGCAAGGAATTATTCCAGTTAATGTAGCATCGCATATTTTATTTGTCATTCTTTATTTTTTATTCATTTCTATATTTTGTGACAGAGCACCATGCAGTCCGCGGTGATGAATTCTGGAAGTTTCAGGGACCTGCGGCCTCTTACTCGTGGAATCACGTTTGCCGGTCGGCCTTTATCTTCTGCAAGCAGAAGTTTGTCTCGCCATAGTTCTTCATCATCTGCGAGATCTTCCCTGTGTAAGTTTTATTTATGAGCTCACACACACTCATAACCTTCCGCACTCTTCTCCTGCACATACTGCCCCCTGTCATACTCTCCAGCACTCCTTTCCTGCACATACTGCCCTCTGCCATACTCTCCAGCACTCTTTCCGTGCACATACTGGCCAGTCAGCCCTTGTTCACACCAGACACTGGCCAGAACGCACTGCATCACATTGCGGCCAGCTCACCATGTTGTATTGCGTTCCCGTGCGGCGATCACATTGCGGCTGAAGGGTGTGGCTACAGTGCCATTCATTTCAATGGACCACCACGCCCCCTCCTGCCCCACAACATAGTGAGGCAGCTGCAATGCGATGCAGTGGCTTCTGGCCAGAATCCGGTCTGAACGCACTGTGTCTGGTGTGAATGTGTCCTCGTACTCTATGACACTCCTCTCCTGCATGTATTGGCCCCTGTGATACTCTATGACACTCCTCTTCTGTACATTCTGGCCAGTGGCACTCTCCGGCACTCTTCTCCTGCACACATCTGATGACTTTAGGAGATAAATACCTGCTGAATTGCTAATTCTTTAGACACTTCTCCACCCTCCCTGGCCAGCTGATTGGACAGTGAAGGAGTAGCAGCACGCTTTTAAAGTCATAATGAAATTTTCGTTTATGTTTTTAGTGTCTTCGGTCCTCTCTGTTCCTGATCCCACTCTCACCATTCAAGACATAGAGCAAGTGTTATTCCAAAGAGTTACTGAAATTGAAGAAGATTTAAAAAATGCCTTCATGACTTTGGACGTGGATCAGATGTTATCTGTCACCAAGGGTCAACTGTACAGGGTCCTGAAGAACTTTGTCATAGCCCTGACCCAGTCACAGTTTGATGAACTGCTAACAAAGGTAAGATCACGGGGCTCGGCACTTGTAAAAACACTCTCATTTTCACTTAGGAGTTCTTTTTTACTTGAAATAATAACAGATCTACTGGCAGGATCAACAGGTAATACAACTATGTTACAGGAAAAAAACAAAAACTGCTGGTTTTAGGGCATATGGGCACAAATACAGACTTATACAACACAAAATACATCTGTATTTGTGGCTGGCGCCCGGGAGCCCCAGCTGCTGAGTTTTGTGTCCATAGGATCGAAAAGACACAGTACACTGTACACGGGTATATGCCTGTAAATGCAAGTAGTGGCTTTTGCATTTCAAACATGAAATGTCTGCTTTCAGAAACTTACACCAATATGCGTGCAAACGCTAGTGTTGCATTTGCTGGTATACAGTGTACTGTGTCTATTCAGTCCTATGGATGCAAAAACGCAGCAGCTGGGGCTCCCAGGAATCGCAAATATAGGCATATTATATGCTGTATGCCCATACACCTGTATTTGTGTCTGTGGGAATGGGCCCTAATACTAGTAATAAACTGGATCATATAATTTTTTATTTTGGCCGTAGTTACACTTTGAAGTGCACCTTTTAGTAGCTTTCCAATCTGCATAAATAGATTCCTGAAGTGTCAAAATATACAGCAACAATATAATTGTAATAAACAGCAAGAAGGGATACACCTAATATACCCATTATTGGAAAATTTGGGATTGAATTTGCACTTTGGACGTTGTTTAAAAATCCTCATGTGCAGTGCTGAGGCAGAGGCAGGGGGGCACTGCTGGAGTGGGAGTTTCTCCTGCATTTGCATTACCCACGCTTGCTGCTCAGTCCTGCAAATGACACTTGGAGAGTTGCTCTCCCAATGTAAACATCCATTGACAATAGGACCGCCACATAGTTCTCTATCAGAAATGCTGACACCCCTCCTGATACGCACAGACCACAGCACAGCACCTATCAGCTCCATGGATTGCAGTGACAGGGCCGCTCTTCCAGTGTATTCTCCAGGAATTAGCTATTAGTGTGACAGCGCAGCTCCATGGATTGCAGCGGCAAAGCCTCTCTAGCAGTGTAATCTGCTGGACTGAGCTGTGAGTGTGACAGTACGGTTCCGTGGATTGCAGTGGCAGAGCTGCTCTCCCAGTGTAATCTGTGTGACTGAGCTGTGAGTGTGACAGTGCAGTTCCGTGGATTGCAGTGGCAGAGCTGCTCTCCCAGTGTAATCTGTAGGACTGAGCTGTTAGTCTGACAGTGCAGCTCCATGGATTGCAGCGGCAAAGCCACTCTACCAGTGTAATCTACAGGACTGAGCTGTGAGTGTGACAGTACAGTTCCATGGATTGCAGTGGCAGAGTCGCTCTCTCAGTGTAATCGCTGGCACTGAGCTTTAAGTGTGGCAGCCAGGTCCTGCATTAACCATAAGCTTTTATTACCCCATCATCACCCTCTTAATCTTGCAGATTTTTTAATGGTTTATATGTAAACTTTTTTTCTTGGCATCTTCTCAGTGGACACTAGAAGACCTTATCCTGACACTTTATTTGTCCTTTCACATACAATTTTGTTACGCATTCACCTTTAGGCTGTGAGGCTTCACTCATAGAGACCAATCAAATAACCCATTTGTTCTCTAACGTGCAGTAAAAAACTGTGATAGAATTTGATTAGTTTATCATGGGCAACATATACTTCCATTTGGTCCAGTTTTTGTGCAGTGCATCAGCCTTGTTGATCTCAGAGCCCTACTTCAGTCAAGTTTTTTAAAGTTTTGGATGGAATGAGTTAAGCCAGCCTATCTCTACGAGGGTGCCGTGGTACCTTGGGGTGCCTTCTGGTTTTTTCAGAGGTGCCTTTAGATTTTCTCTAAATCGGGGGGAACTGTGATGTGAAGGAGGCTCTTGATATTAAGAGTGGGGCTTCTGATGTGAAAGTGGTGCCTCTAATGTGAATGCCTGGGGTGCCCCTTAGAATCTATACCAGACCACTGTCTAGGATAAGGGTCTGGTATTGAGTCTTTTTTTTGTGGGGGGAACCACATGGTTTTTTTTACATTTACGCTTAGGACTGGGGTGCCTCAAGGTTTTGCATACCTTTTAAAAGGTCCCATAAATGAAATATGGTTAAGAAACGCTGAGTTGAGCCCACCACACACATTACGATCTGTTGGTACAATCTCATTTAGATCTGCCAAGTAATGCAAGATCCTGCCTGATTGGATACAAATTGATTGGGTAGTTTAGGTATGTCCTCTTATTACATAATTTTGGTAAATCTGATGTTGATTATATGGTCAGATTGTGATGTGTATGAGCAGCCTAGAGTTAGATCCTCTGTGAGGTTTTTACTGCGTTCTGTGGTCATGTTGAGTTTTCCACTCCTGTGTCAATGGCCCCCAGAGTGAATCAAAAACATACAGTCCTGCTTAAAACCTTGTGGCTCTTTATTACTTACCTTCTTTTTTAAAGCAGAATGGCTTCTTTTTTTCTGTTCATAGGTTCCTGTCAGTCCTAACGGCACCATTCCATACCTTGACTTTTTGGCCAGATACCACCGGACCGGCAGCAGCATGTCCCAGGTAAAGAGAAGGTAAGTGACCAGGGCATGGCTTTTGTAAAAAACAAGAAAAAACACATGACAAGTGGGATTAAGACAATAGCTTAAATCAGCGTTGATTGTAACGAGTGATTTGTTTGGTGAGTGAAAGCTTCTGTAACTATAACAAGTGCAATAAATCAGAATCTGCTGGCAAAAAGTCAAATATTGTCTGTTTACTTGTTCTATATCATATTGAAGTTACCACCTGTAGCCAAGCCCGACAATGGCATGCTTGTCACATTGGAAGGAGCCGGAGCCTTAGCAACTTTCTTCTGTTTGTGTTTAGTGGAAGGTGTGGTAGAGACTCGGAGCTGTCCATGGTACAAAGAGAGCTGAGTACAATGACAGCCTCTTGTGGGTAAATAATCCACACAGCCCATAGATAATGTATGGAATGGACACTTCACTACATTTACAAGTGTTGTTTTTCCAATTATTATTATTGTTATACAGGATTTATATAGTGCCAACAGTTTGCACAGTGCTTTACAAAATGAAGGGAGCCAGTACAGCTACAATACAATTCAATAAAAGAAGGTTAGGAGGGCCTTGCACGTGAGAGCTTACAATCCAGTAGGATGGGCAAGTAATGGCATAGGTAATAATTGTGTGGGATGAGCTAATGGAAGAAGTCTCCACATGGAAAATGAGCACCAGCTGAAATACACTGCCTGTATTTAGCTAAACAAATAACTAAGAGCCTTCCATTGGATACTTTCTGCAGTGATTAATATGCTTCATCTGGCAACAAATGAGGTCAGCTGCCTGCCTGAATATACTGAACGGCCAGGTTTTTCCATCAGTGAATGTTTTCTTCCCTGATGGCACGGACATATTCCAAGATGACAATGCCAGGATTCATCGGGCTCAAATTGTGAAAGAGTGGTTCAGGGAGCATGAGACACATGGATTGGCCACCACAGAGTCCAGACCTTAACCCCATTAAGAATCTTTGGGATGTGCTGGAGAAAACTTTACACAGTGGTCCGACTTTCCAATCATCACTACATGATCTTGGTGAAATATTAATGCAACTCTGGATGGAAATAAATGTTGTGACATTGCATACGCTTATCAAAACAATGCCACTGCAAATGCGTGCCGTAATCAAAGCTAAAGGTGCTCCAACGAAATATTAGCGTGCGTGACTTTTTTTTTTGGCCAGGCAGTGTATATCAGTACACCAATATCCCCTTATTCCATCTTCCATATATATATAATTTTTTAAAATAAAATTGTGTAAATTTCAGGTGCTGCAGTGATACAATCTAGTTGTGTATAAGATTTTTTACAGCTTTTATTGCACTTGATTCACATCATTACAAAAAGTGAAAAACCATAAAAAAGTTTTTGCTCATTGGAAGCAAAGAAATACATCAGTATGTTGATTAATTTTACACCGTCCAACGGTACCCTTCCAATATATCTTAAAAGATCTCCTAAGATTTACAACAACTATATCAAGGTATATGATATAAACTATGAGCATTCTAAAATAAAACGCCTGACACCAGCGTTTTACTGATTTAAATTGCGATAACTTATTTAAATCTTATCACCAACCATAATAAGAAATTAACCAATCGCTCAGCCATTCGGACTCAAGTAATAATTACTATCAAATTGTGGAAAAATATGTTTGTCCCCGCCTTAAAACAAGGGATGGCGGACTACATATAGACTTGAGTTAAACATGAAAAAAGCAGCTCTGCGTGCTATACCTAACACGTCTCTGGCCCTGTTGCCTGCAGACTCACTGATTCAGCAGTGCTGCGCTACCCTTCTTCTGGGTTCAATGACACCCAGTGTCATTCAGTGCACCTCCTGTGAGCCCAGGGTGTCAGGGCTCCCCCCCCCCTTTCTTGACTCATAAGAGAATGCTGCATAGAGTGGCACCACTGCTTGAGGAACAAGGGGGTGAGGAGGACTGATGATGTCACTGGACCGAAAAAGAATAAAGGTATGTATATTGATTTTTTAGTGGGTGCTCCAATGGAGAGAAAGGAGGGGGTGGGGGATCCTAAGCCTGGAGTTGGGCTTTAAGACTCCTTTAATTTAATTGTCCTTCAACTCAGTGCAGTATGGTAGAGAATGATTAGGATTTTCTGCCTCTAAATCAGGCCTGTTATCATTCATAATGTAGTCCTGTTATCTGAAAATATTTAGCTAACAATACTTATGTATTAATATACTATATATTTTCTTCTTTTTAAGATGGAGCTGTTCACAGGCCCATAAAGTAATGACACTCAATGAGCTTGAAGCCCAGCTGAAGCTAATGGTAAGGTATTGCTCCATTATGGAATTTAGGAAAGACCTAGACTGATGTTAGGTTGAAGAAATACATAGATTGTCATTGGTGACCTTCACACTAGTTGCTTTGCTGTTAGGGTGATCCTTTGGCTTCAATCATTCCTGAAACACTGACCTGATACAAGTATGCAGATCAGGAGATCTCAGCCTGAACACTTATGGGTATGTCAATTGGAAGTCAGAAGATCAGTTTGATATTCAGGCAGCTAGCATTTCCAGTAGGAGGTTAGCAGTACGTCACACTTCCCTTATGATGGGTGTTTTACAAAGCATACAGTGCCAATATGCAGCAATGTTTTGCCTGTAGGATTATCCAACCCTATCATGAATCTCCGGATAATTAACTCTTCCCAAGTATAATCTGCAGTCTTACCACGCTACACACTGGTTGTGCTTCACAGCTCCTTCTCACAATGCTTGTCTATAAGTCAGACGAAAACAACAACCTCCTTGTCTGGCTGATATTTTATCCCAAGCATTGTTAAGCAGTAAGGCAGAATAATTGTACTTTACCTCTAGTGGCTAATCTACAAATCTTAACATGTAATATAATAACAAAATTATAGAAGACCAAGCATATAAAAATGTGTAAATCACATAAAAATTTAAACAATACAATAATAATTCAACCTATCTTCTTGCTAAAAATACACTGTACTAGGCCTTTAAAGCAGCTCTGTATTTATTAACACAGCATTAAAGCTGAAGTGTAATTTACCTTTGCATTCCCGGGTTCCACCCCTCCCCCTTATCAATATGCTAATGACAATGTTAAAATAAATCTTTTCCATTTTCATTACATATCATATTATAGACCCAGTGATATCTTCTCTGGGTCTCTGTGCTTTCCTATGCAATGTAGGTGTATTATGGCCAGTGGGAAGGCCTGGCAAGGTGCTGTACAACTTGTATGACCACGCACAGTGCCACGCCCCCTCATCTGCTGCTGTGCCCCCCCTCCCTCTGCTGGGGGTTGTCCCGGGCATCGCTGTGCCGGTGATCTCGGTCCCGGGCACCGCAGAGAAGGAGGAGAGACCAGCATTCCCCACTGCTGATCTCTCCTCCTTCTCTCTCTAAAGGCAGAAGCGATGTGTATTACTTCACTTCCGCTCATAGCTGTAATTTCTCTGGCTGCTAGCCAGAGAAGAAGCTGGTGAAGCAGGGGGTCCCCAGACGACATTAGGGGTATTAAAGACCCCTGATGTCTCCATAAAGAGGACCTATCATTGTTATTTGGCTATCACATAGGGGGCTTTTTAGCCCCCCATTGTGATAGCAATCAAGTTTAGTGTAAAAAAAAAAATTAAAGTCTCATTTAAAAAAAAAAACACCCAAAAAAGTTTTAAGGCCCCCGCATGCATGCACTTATAAATGTAAATATGCGCCGGGTGTGCCTACGTGTGAAAACAGCGATTACGCCACACGTTACATATCGCCGCAAACTTCGGAGTGAGAGCAGTAATTTTAGGGCCATTAATCACCACTGATAACACTAAATTGATGAGCGTTAAAAGCTTTTAAAGCGTCGCCTATGGCCAATTTTAGACATGGTAGTTTTTTGTGATTTCGCGGGCGCACGCAGTTTTAAAGTTTGACATGTTTGGTGTCTATTTACCCGGCGTGACCCTGTCTTTTATATTTTAAATGTTTTATAACATAACGTAGGGAAAACAGGGTTTTATGCAAATTTTTGGGTACTTTTTACATTATAAATCTTTAAAAAAAACCTGCAGTGGCGATTAAAGCAAAAGGAAGCTCTATTGTCCCTAAAAAATTGTATGAAAATTAATTTCAGTACAGCGTTGTATGACGGAATAAGCGTCAGTCAAAGTACAACAGCACTAAATACTGAAAAATGGCCTGGCCAAGAAGGAGGTGTAACACCCTGGTCATCAAGTGGTAAAGAGCCCTCCGTCATGATGCAAGCGGTGGGCTGGCTCTTGGAAGTAGTTATGCAAATATAAAAAGCCTTGATGGCTGGGTGTCAGTCTGGAAGAGTCAGTGTTCCCAGGCAGGCTGTGTTTGCATTACGACCTCCCTAAAAAATGAATGCCCACATGTGATGCTGAGCCTCCAGGATTGAAAGAACTGAAAGCCAATGAATAAATGGGGTGGCCCAGGGATCATGAGGTTAAGTCAGGGGGGTTAAAGTAATTGATGATGCCAAATGCACTCCAGCCAGGATACTCGGGCTCTATGAAGAGAAATCCTTTGCCAGCTAAAAAGGGTCCAATATATGTATTTCACCTGTAAATTTGGCTGTTTTTTTAAAACTTTATAACCCACTCAAGAGTACAAAAACAATTAAAGAACATATGCTGTTGGCTCACAGATAGGAGACACAAAATGACATGGGAATATGTACCGTATTTTTCGCTCCATAAGACGCACTTTTTTCCCCCCCAAAAGGAGGGGGAAAATGTGCCTGTGTCTTATGGAGCGAATACCTATTGCCCGACGCCCGGGACATGCAGTTTCGGGCGCCGGGTGAGTAGTTTTTTTGTACATTGAGCCCTGCTCCTGACAAGCAGAGCTGAATGTACAGTGGGAGCCGCTGCTCATTTAATACAAGTGATCTAATTAGATCACTTGTATTAAATCGAGCTGCAGCAGCAATTGTGTCCGCCCCCCCGCCGTGGTTTTCGGGGTCCACTGCTCCTCTGGGGGACCGTGACCACGGCATAGGAGCTCACCACAGAGCCCCTTGAGCAGAAGAAGAACGTCGTTTTTCGTCTGCTCTGTGTGATTACTGAGACCGTGGTGCTGTAATGACATCGCCACCTGTCTCAGCGGTCACTGAACTGCAGCTTCTGTCACAGAATCACAGAATGCCTGCGTCCTATGGACCGGAGGGCCTTATAGAGCGCAAAATACGGTAAATAGTAGACTAAGTAGTGGAAAAATATAAACATGAACATCATTAACACACCATCTGTAGGCGTCACTACCTCACCTTTATGAATAAAGTATATAAAGAGAAGGGCAGTTCAAATCTGATCTCAACTATTTCACTTTGTTTCCAAAAGATTTAAGAAAAGGAACACCAGAAACAGACAAAAAAGGCCAAAGAAGAGAATAAAAGAGGGAAGAAAAAGCTAGCTGGCTCCAGTCTAGGAATATTCCAGACCTCTACATACATGTAGAATGGTGTCCGGCCAACACGTGTAGACACCTGGGGAAGTGCAGAGAAACCCAACTCTGTGCCAGCAAAGAGTTGTGGGGGAGGGGGGGGGGGGTCAGAAAAAAAC